GGTTGCTAGTGAGCTTTAGTACGTAGTAGAAGCTTGTGCTATTCGGGTTTGAGTCTCCAAGTTTGGTGGCGGTCAGGGCCAGAAGCTAGGAGAAGGTGCTACAGTGCAAAGATCATACAAAGAGCCTGTCGTCAACTCCACCGAGAGCTGAGCACTAATGATCCAGGTAACTGATTAAATTAATTAATTAACTATGAACCTCTTTCCTATAGCTAGGAGAGGCTCTTAAATAGAGGAGAGACGGTGTGGTCACTCTCTTGAATCATGGGATGTGACTATGTACTGTTGGGGGGTACCATACCTCCCACTTGTACTATGAGTGGCCGCTTGATGGGCTCGGAGTACTGTACTTTTCCTCTCACGTCATGGGAAACGGGAAGGCCCATCCATGTACGTGATATTATGGCCGCCAGGGACTCTGGCGAGTTCGGTGAGCTTGTCAATTGCCTGGATGGTCGTTTGAACGTGTAGGAAACTCTCAGCCACTTGGACGAACTTAATTCGTGCAGGCGAATTAAGTACGCAGGGAAATTTTAGTTATTTGGATGATCTTGACTCGTGCAGGTGGTTCAAGCATGCAGGCGAGTATAGCGACATCGTGGATTTGACTGGTCACTCATACTGTGGACGGCCGATTGATAGGCTCGAAGTACTATGCTCCTTCCATTCACATCGTGGGAAATAGGAAGGCCCATCCTTGTATGTGATATTACGACTGCCAGGTACTCTGATGAGTTCGGCGAGTTCATCTATCGTAGGCGATTTCAGCTCTTAACTCTTGCAGGCGAGCCAGGGGTGTAGGTGAGCTTCAATCGTTCGAACGAACTTGGTTCATGTGGGCGATCAAGTATGTAGGCGGGCTCGGTGACCGCGTGGATTCGACTAGCTTCTTGTATTGTGAGCAGCTACTTGATAGGTTTGGAGTACTACACCCCTTCCCATCACGTTGTGGGAGATGGGAAGGCACATCCCTATATGTGATATAGCAGCTGCCTAGTACTCTGATGAGTCTGTAGTTAGAATGTTGATCGCCTGGCTGATCATCTGGGCATTTAGATGAGTTCAGCTCTTAAGCAAACTTAACTCGTTTGGGCAAGTCAAGTGTCTAGGTGAGTTTCTGATTACTTGACGGATCGCCAGATGCATAGGTGAAATTTATGATTGTGTGGTCTTGGCTCGTGCTGGCAAGTCAAGCACACGGGTGAGCCTAATTTTCACATTGCGTGGGCGACTCGAATACGCAGCCAGATTTCAAGCTTATCTGCAAAGGTATTTTTTACCGCATACAGCCATCAATGTCTGAGGTCACTCTATAGCCTGCTGCCTTCAAAACTCCAAGTGAAATGATGTTTTTCTTCAACTGGGGAACGAACCTCACTCTAACCAACTCCCGAATCACTCTGTCACTCATCCTAATCTCAACGGTACTGATACCACTAATAGGACATGCATGATCATTATCCATGTGCACGACCTTCCCTCTTTCCAACTTCTGAAAGCTAGAGAACCAATCCCTCCTAGGGAAAATATAGTAAGAAGCACCCGAATCCAACATCCACTCTGTAGAGTCAGAAACACAAACTGACAGTAGTGCAGATAACGAGTAGCCCGAAGAATTCGAATCTGAATTATTGCCACTAGCCTTGATAACATTCACCTCTGAAGCTTGAATAGCTTTTCTCTTATTCTTCCCGGCTCGATCAACCAACTTTGGGCATTCGGTTTTCCAATGTCCATCCTCTTTATAAAAGGTACACTGATTGTGCCCCTCTAGACTGCGACCTCCTACCACGGTTTGGACTCTTTGCTCTTGCGACTAATGCCCCCGCTACCAGCTCAACTAAAGTCTCATTATCCTTCTTTCGAAGCTGATAATTCATAAGTACAGCAGTGACCTCACTATAAGAAAGAGATGCCTTCCCATTAATAAGAGTAAGAATGAAGGTCTCATCTTCCTCATCAAGTAAGGAACTCAACAACAACAATACCTTGTCCTCATCTTCAATCATCACATCTACATTCGTCAAATCTGTAAGAAGCTTTGTGTAGTAGTTCATGTGATCACCAATGGAGGTCCCCTTTTTTAATTGGAAGCGATAAAACCTCCTCTTCAAATGCAAGCGGTCTCTACACTCTTGGTCAAATACTTGCCCTCTAGGATCTCTCATATCTTCTTAGTCGAAGTCTCATTGATCACATCATATTTTAAATCTTGAGTCAAACACTATCTAATCACACCATACGCCATTCTATTCATCTATTTTCAAACCTTCTCCTCAATGTCGTTCGGTTTCATGTCCAACTCCAAAGTATCTTCCAAATTTTACGCATTGAGCGCATCCAAAACTTCACATCTTCAAAGATCAAAATTATTTGTGTCATTAAACTTCTCCACATCTATCTTCATAGAGTGGATATTTAAACTTTGGACAGTCTTCACGCTGGAAGTATCCTCCACAACTCTTTCTTTCCCGACCATCTTTCTCAAAGCACCAAAATAAATACGGAACAAATTAAGAATAGATCCAAAACTAAAAAAGATAGTCTTTACCAAAAAGATCCCACATTTATCACCAAACGAAGCCTTAAGCGAGCCTCCAAAATGACCTACTCCTCCAAATAGCCCAAGCATAGCCCAAGTTCTGATACCACTTGTTGAGCGCTGAGAAAACCAAACAACCAAACCAAGGTGCTATAAGAAATCAAATCAAATAAACGTCGAGAGAATACCAAACGAACCAAATCAATGCCACAAATACAAATAACAAATTTTAACATAGTTTGGCAAATTGTCTACGTCCACGGGCCAAGAAGAGGATAGGGTTTTTTACTAATAGAGAAGAAGAGTACAAACTGAGATTATAAATCACTCAAATTCACCAATTATCTCACCAACAAATCTCTAATTCTCTCCAAACAAAACTCTAACCAATAGCTCAAAAATACCTTTTTTCTATGCTCTAAATTTCCCTAATTTTCTTCTCAATTTTCTCTTCTAATTGTTCCATATATATAGAAATCCTAAAATCATAAATATACTAGGAATTCTAAAATAAAAAATAAAACAGATTAGGAATCCTAATAACCTGTTACCAAAACAAATTTGGAATCATGTTACCAAAATATATTAGGATTCTCAATAACCTGCTACCAAAATAAATTAGGAAACATATTAGGAACCTACTATCCAGCATCATCAACAATAACACCCTCATCTATCGATATGGAACAATCAGATTTCAAGACAGCTGAGATCCTATTGATTTTTAGCTTTATTTTTGGTGTAAATGTGATAAAAAGATGTGTTTCTATCCCTGCTGATGGACCGTTGCACCCTCGAGTGATGTCTCCAATAAAGCTCTTTGTCACTTAAGAGACTTTCTAGAGCAATATGGAAGTCTTTTTCTTTAGCGATGTTAGCATCTGAGGGAGGAAGTAACTGAATTGAAGTAATTTCACTCCGGATATGATCAATCTTCACATGGGAGGAGTCAAATTCCTTAGCCTTCCATTTAAGAACTTCATTTCTAATGTTAGAGGCTTTGTGCGGTAGGAGTGCATGAATAGTCCATGGCTCAGTGATTGTCTTGATGAAGTTGGGGTGATTTGTCCATCGAACGTCCATTCTAAATGCTTTTCTCTTTGATTTTCTTTTACTTGGGTGATAGACCAAGATTGGGCAGTGATCACTTCTAGTAACTAGAAGTTGAAGGACAACAGCTAAGGGAAAAGCGAATCTCCAATTCGTAGAGTAAACAGCATGATCAAGATGCTCCTTCACATTGAGATGAGCCCGACGACGATTGGACCAAGTGAAAGCGGGGTCATCGCATCCCTAGCCCATAAGGGTGGCATCAGAGACGAAAGCCTTGAAGTCTTTGAGGTCCGAAGTTGATGGAATATTGCCTCCTAATTTTTCATCAGCTTTGAGGATGGCATTGAAGTCGCCAATACACAACCAAGGTTTAGTGAAGGAAGAGGTGATGCTGAGGATTTTAATCCAAAGGAATTTTCTATCTTTTCTAGCGATCGCTCCGTAGACACACACCAGAGTCCATGGGATGGGTTGGCAACATTCGGCAATAATATAGTTAGGAGAACTAGCAGAGATTGTAATAGTTATAGGGCTCTTCCATAGCAGGTAGAGGTCACTGGATAGACCCGAAGAAGGAACCGAGTGATGGGAGGAGTATGGGAGGAGAGGTAGTAGACGATCAAGGTGAATTTTTTTGCGTTTTGTTTCGGAGAGGAAAAGAATATTGAGAAAAGAGGATTTTTAGTGGAGGAGTAGATGTTTTTGGATTGTCGAGGTACTCCTCCCTCCTCAACAATTCCAAGCTAGAAGTCTCATTTGGTCGCTTGTGGCCCAAATGTGGTATCCGCACGAGGAAGATGGTTGGGACTATTTTGTGATGAAGCGAGGCTCTGACCAGAACCGAGTGTTTTGGGTTGCGTAGATTATGAGGTTTCAGATGCTATTGATTCTCTGATGCGTTTGGATAGAAATGGGGCCCAAAAGATGAGTTGATTCATGTTTGTACTTGAGCATTAGCATTTACAAGGTTGAAGGGGAGGGTGTTAATTCCCCAATTTGGGGGGATTCATTTTCGATATTTTCTGGAGGAGAGATTGAGGAGTTGGTGGGAATATTTATTTTGTTGAGAGATGGAGGATTATTTGATTTTTCTTCTACAAAGACAAATGTAGCAGTTTTTGAGTAGGTTTAGTCAATTATGTTTTAATTAAGGTGTTGAAGTTTGGTTTTCATTTTCTTGGGGCTGAAGACTTTGTTAGTGGCTAGGATTTTTTGGTTAGGGGTTTGGGAAAAACATCTGTAGGATGAGAAGTCTAGTTTAATAAATGACTTGGTAGTTACGTAGGGTGTGATCACGTGGATGTGTTTAGTGGGTTCGCTTTGGGAGTGTGAAACGGATATGAAGAGGAGCTAGTGGTTTGAAATTTTTGGTGATCATGACTCCAAAGGTTCACTAGATGGAGGCATGGGATTGGATGTGTCGATGGGATTGGAAGGTTTGTGTATAACAGAAGGGTCCAGAGCATTGGATTGGAAGCTTAGAGGTAGGGAGATTATTGTAGGCTTGTCGAGCAGTACTTCTTGTTTCACTCTCAAGGATGATGTGCCCCATCAAACCACAGAAGGTGTAGTATCTAGGCAAATGTTCATATTTTACTTCAATATCACGCTCTTCTCCATTGATAAGTATGAGAGGGATAATTGGTCTTTAATGGAGATCAGTTTGATTTTGACTTAGGGGCTGTTTGGTTGGGGTTTTTTTTAGGAAAACTGCAGTTATGGAACAAAAAGCAGCTTTTAGGGCTTTTTGGATTCCAAAAACTACGTTTTTTTCCACTTTTTTAAGGAAAAGGTTTGCCAAAATACTGACAAACAGTTGTATTTTTTGGACACCCCATTTCAGCTATTTTTGAGTGGAATTGGACTGGAAATCTGACACCCGCTTTCAGCTTAGCATTTCCTTTCTCTTCACGTGAAGAGCCCTGACCCGTTGTCGATACCCTCACCGCCTCATCTTGAGTTGCCTCTTCTATTCTACCTTTCCCTCCTCCGTTTCGTGCCGATTCAAAAGAAAAATCAGGGAATCGAGGCATCAATCGGCAGCAAATCGATCTAGAATGGTCGATTAGATCCCTGTTGGGTCACCTTGATGAAGCGTAGCCCTTGATTTCAAAAGGAATTTTCTGATGTTGGGGTTTTACAAGTCTACGATTTTCTGATGATGGGGGTTTCCATAGTGCATGTCGCCTTCATTGATGGAGGTGATCTTCTCTGATTCGGGTGTAGTCGAAACTCCTCCCTGATCTGAACTTCAGATCTGACGCCTGGATCTCTGGTTTAGGGGTTCAAGTTCCTCCTTTGATCATCGGGTTCTACTCCACACCGACGATAAGGTTCAGCCTTCACTGCATTTTCTAATTTTTTTTATTTTATATGATTTTAATAAATTGTCACTATTTACTTATTAATTGTAGGTAATTATAAAAGAGTCTGAGTTGTGGAATTATGAGGAAAAATTGAGTAAATTTACGGCAAAGTTAAGGGTATATTTTGGATGATTTTTTTAAATATACGCCAGATTAGGGTTTACTCCCCAAAATTTTTGTAATAGTCAATTTTGTTTTCTATACTGACATAATTTAGATGTTTATCTTTACTTGCTGATGTCTTCTGTGTATATGAAGGCTAGCTCAAAATATTGGAACAGTATGATTTTATTTAGAATATGAGATCGTGGTTGATAAGAAGAAATTATGTGTAGTTATATAATTTTACTATACTGAATATCCGCTAAAAGTATAGAATTAAAATTTTGATTCCATTATTTGTCTATGTATAAGAATGTATTTTGCTCTCATTGTAGATGGAAGATATTGATGACGAAGCGTTAATGAGGATATCGAGTAATGCTACTATGTCTGCCATCGTCACTGTGTTGATATGTGTAATGAGAATGCGTTGTAGAAGAAAATATGTCACCTGTCACCATGGGGAGGGGGAAAAACAGAAAATAGAGTCTAGGAATGCCCACATATGCCACGTATTTTCTGACTATAGTCACAGCTTTAGAGACTATGTTAGAATGAGGCCACATGCATTTGAAAATCTTGTCAGAATAATGAGAGGGACGGGCCTACTACAGGATTCACGTGATGTAAAAGTTGAAGAACAATTGCTCATGTTTCTTAATGTATTAGGACATAAAACAAAAAATAGAATAGTGCTCATGTTTCTTAATGTATTAGGACATAAAACAAAAAATAGAATAGTAAGATCACATTTCATAAGATTAGGAGAAACAATTTTCAGATATTTTAACAAATGCTTAGAAGCAGTTGGTTGTATACAGGGGGCAGTTCTTGAAGCAAGCACCAAAGGAATTGGCGCCAGAGATTGCAAGCAATCCTTTGTACTATCCTTATTTTAAGGTAATGCACTCATGAACATACAGTAATCTACAGAAGTAAAATTGTTATCCTATTAATTAATAGTAAATTTCTAAAGTTATATAGGATTGCATTGGCATGATAAACGGGACCCACATTGACGCTATGCTTCCTGCTAGCCTTGTGGCCCGCTTTAGAGGTCGTAAAGGTGTGACTCAAAATATTCTAGCCGCCTGCACCCCAAATAAGTTATTTTCATATGTTCTCGCCAGTTGGGAGGGGTCCGCAAATGATTATAGAGTACTACAAGATACACTTTCAAGACCTCAACCTCATGGTCTGAGAGTCTACGATGGTAATTACTCGTTAATGACAAAATTGGATATTCAATTGTAATTTACAAAGAATTTAATTATTTATGATAATGTGTTGTTTATAATTATAGGCAAATATTATTTGTACGATGCGGGATACACCACCATGCCTGGCTTCATCTCCCTTTATCATGGTGTACGTTACCATTTAAATGAGCACAGGGGTAGGCCAATAAATAACAGAAGAGGGTTATTCAATCTAAGACATTCCTCGCTACAGTCTAAAATTGAATCAACCTTTGGATTGTTGAATAATCGTTTCAAAATCCTCACTGCAAAACCACATTATCCTTTTCCAACCCAAGTTGACATAGTATTGGCTTGTGCTATACTTCATAACTACATTGCTATAGTCGACCCGGGCGATGACTTATTAAATGAGGACATTATCATTGATGATGACGATGTAGAAATAGCTACTGAGGGGGAAGATGCCAATCTTGTTGACTTTTCTCAAAATGTAACACAAAGAGAAGAAAGAGATTCAAGAAATGAATGGAAAGAGAAGAGGGATGACATTGCAAGTGCTATGTGGCTAGACTATTGTAATAAATATCGTGACGGGGACATAACCGAATTTGGCTTGTAATTGACATATTAGTATTTCCAGTATTGTTGTATTTCTTATGTTTTTCGTCGGGACTGGTTGTATTTATTAAGTTTGTTAATGTTGGTTTGATTTTATCTTTGCATTATGTGCCTTTGGTCTAACATGAGCTTTGTTCTTCATATTTTCACTATGTGATTTTATTGTAACAGGTCATTCATCCTTTAAAGTATGGCCGAGTTTGGTGATAAAAATGATGATTGTGATGCCACTCCCTCCCTTAAAACCCCTGTTGCTCCTCCTTCAGACTTGAACATGAACTTCATGACATTCCCTCGTGCACCATTCTCTGCTCCCCCCCCCCCCCCCCCCCCCCTCCCCCCCCCCCCACCCCCTCCATTTCCATCTTTCTCTCCTTACAACAGTAATTTCGCATATGTTACTCAACAACCTACGCCTTACATGAACATGCTTACAAGCCACCATACATTCCATACAACCCCTAGCCCACATAATAGTAATTGTCAATCTGGAGAGAGTCGTTCGTCAAAGAGGGTTAATGAAGTTGATGCGAGGTAATGTTGCCATCCAAGAAAAAGAAGAAAGTAGCTGCTAAAAGAAGATTGGCCTCAACAATTATAGACAAGCCTCCCAACACTAGGGGTGTGCCTAACATGTATTGGAATGCCAAGCATAATGATGTTTTAATCCCTGTTCTTGCTCAATTGACAAGAGATGGCCTTAAGGTTGATAAAAATTTTTAAATGCATGCATACAAAGTGGTCGCAGATGAAGTTAACAGGCAATGTGGAACTAAATTCACAAAGGAGAATGTGATGAACCTTATGAAGAGCTTGAAGAGCAAGTTTTTTGATATGCGAACTGTGATGAACATGAGCGGTGCTGGATTTGATCCGGCATCAAAAATAGTGACCATGGATCCAGATTCATTTGATATGTAGACAAAGGTATCGATTGGTACACAGTGTATTTATCTTCCATTATTTGCGTACAATTTTATGTAGTGAGCAATTTTTCTTAAATTTAGTTATTACACAGGATAATAAGTGCAGTAGCTCAAAATTGAAGCAGTACTTGAACACGCCTCTAACGCACTATGATGATTTGTGTACGATTGTTGGTGATGACCAAGCAAGGGGAAATTATGCCAAAGATGTAAGTAAGAAACTTGGTAATAGTCGGCCTCTTGAATTTTTTGAGGATCCGATCAATCTTTGTGAAAATAATGATATTGAGACCCCCAAGTCACATTCTGAGGCTGAGACACCAAGTGTTGAAAGGCTTGACCCTCACTCTCAAAATGTGAAGTCGGCTAGTGGGGTAACTTCTACATCCAATGCCAAACCTCATTCAAAAAGGAAGGGTGGCAAGGGCAGAGATGATGATTCACTAATGCGTGAACTCATCGAGTCCATGTCCCACTCAATCCAAAACCAACATATTTTACATTGGACTGATCGCATGGCCAAGGCTTTATCCGCACATGCGGCTAATTTCTCTGAGCTAATACTGGATAAGGTTCTGGATTTTCTATATTATAATGAATCAGAATCTAGGCGGTTCATTATCAAGTTGAAAAATGCGCAGAAACTTTTCATAGAGAAGATTATTCGCGAAAATGGATTTGCCATAGTGGATTTGCCGTAGTGGACACTATATTGGATAATGGATTTGTTTCCTACCTACTTTTGCACTATTATGGCCATATTTATAATCAAGTGAACATGTTATAATCTTATAATATCGTGAGACAACACCTTTACTTTATGTGCATGAAGCAGCTGCTACTTATCATGTTTCTTACTCCTGTCTTGGCTGGCTATATTTGTTGAGATGTATTACCAGGCCTGAGTAGTTCCTTATGTCCTTTTTATGTTATCTTACCTATTTGCAGAGTTTATATATTGTTTGTAGGACATTAGTGTGGAAATGGGCATTATCTCAAACAGCGGTGCCTCCTCTGTGTACAGGTTATAACTATTCTCATAAGTTACTTTCGTTTTTTTCGCGATAGGCAATGAGAATTGCTCATGTTATTTGTTAATGTAGCCTATACTGCAATTGTATTGGTCTGGATAAGGCTTACCATGATGAGATTGTAATCTAGATTGGTAATGTGATTTTTAGGTGAGGCAACTATTATGCGTAGGCAATCCTCAATGCAATTACAATATGTAGGCGAGGCATTGTATACTGATAATATAGCTATAATATAAGCCTTATATGCCATTGCTAGCTTAGATTTACTGACTTTTTAAGCTATGCCTCAATTTTCAGCTTTGTTGTGTGTTCTTCTTGCTTCAGTTTCCAGCTGTGCATCTGAACCTTATATGCCATTGCTTCACTTATATTTGCTTCAGCTTTTTGTGTTGAGTTTTGCATGAATTGTTTTTCCTTGTTTTTCCTTGCTTCAGTTCTCAGCCTGACATGAACTTTTTGGTGATGTGCCTCAATATTCAGCTTTGCTGGAATTTTTTCTTGCTTCAGTTTCCAGCTGTGCTTCATTTTGATTTGATTCAGTTCCCAGCTGTGCATCACTTTGCTTAGCTTCAAATCCCAGCTGAGTTGTTACAGTTGCTCCTGTCTTCAGCTTTGTTGAGTTTTTCCTTTGCACTCAGTTTTAAGCTTTGCATCACTATTTATCTGGGTTTAGAGTTTTTTTATGTACAAGTTATAACTATGTACATAAGTTAGTTTGGATGTAGTTTTTATTTGTTCCAGTATTACTTAGCTGAGTTTTGCTGAGTTGTTTTTCCCTGGTTAGTTTGGATGTAGTTTTTATTTGTTCCAGTATTACTTAGCTGAGTTTTGCTGAGTTGTTTTTCCCTGCTTCAGTTCTCAGATTTGCTTCACTTATATTTGCTTCAGCTTTTTGTGCTGAGTTGTTTTTTCAATAGGCAATGAGGATTGCTCATGTTATTTGTTAATGCAGCCTATACTGTAATTGTATTGGTCTAGATAAGGCTTACCATGATGAGATTACAAGCTAGATTGCTCATGTGATTTTTAGATGAGGCAACTATTATGTGTAGGCAATCTTCAATACAATTACATAGTATACTGATAATATAGCTATAATCTGAGCGTTGTACTCCATTGCAGCCCCTACTAATCTCATTTAGCTGATTTTTTTAGCAATGCTTGCTTTGTTTACAGCCCTTACTATCAGTTTTAATATTAGTTTGCTGGGTAATTTTGGCTTCAGTTTTCAGGCTTGTTTTAAAATTTGGCATTAGTCTCAGCTTCACTTTAGTTTTGTTTCCACATGTACTCTGTTTATGATATATTATCTGCTTTAGTTTTAGCTTTGCTTCAATGCCTATATTCAGGCGAAGCATCCTATACTGATCATATGGCATCGTATACTGATCAAACTTGATTTTGCTAAGTTTTTATCTTAGTTTTGCTGAGTTGTTAGCTTGGTTTTGCTGAGTTCTTAGGTTAGATTTGCTGAGTCATATACTCTATGGATTGCCTCCATAAATTTCATTTCATACCACATTACACTTTACAACTACATGGCATATTTTCAAAGCTATAGATGAGTACACAGATTATAACTAAGAACAATACAATTATTTTCCAAATGATTGGTTGATGCTCTGCAGTTTTCAATTCCCTCTTCAGCTTTTTGATTTTCTTTGCACTTTTATCTTCATCAATGTCCTCACTTTGTGATACATGATTTCTATTTCTGCTACAATCGCCCGCTTTGTCGGCCCACTGAAAGAAGTTGGATTTCTTATTTGGGAACTTAGCGCAACCCCAATAATGTCTCCCTCTATTTTTTCCATTTGTGCATAGCTTCATGGGTGTTGGAAGTTTGCATTTGCACCTAACTTCATATGGGGCACCCTCTACTTTGCTGTCCCATTACCGCTCCATCAACCTGTAGTGGCTTTGTCGCTACGAATCTGGAAAAAAATTAGAAGCCTAAAAAATTCTTACCTGGCTGAGATGTGCTATACTTTGATTAGGCTGTTGGTGGCTCATTATATAGGCCCCCAAGTGATATTGTTTGTTGAGCTGTTGCAGCCCCTAATAGCTGTTTTTTCTTGTGTTGGCTGACGGACACTGTGTGTAACTAGCCGTTGCTTTGCCAACTTTGTGTGATGAAATGTTAAGAACTCTACGGTAACTTCACACAGGTATGTGTACACACTGATTTTTGGCCTCTTTCCTATTCTACGGCTTTGAACCAAACATAATAGCTTTCAGGAAAAGCTTTCTTTGATGGTGTTTTCCTTTTCTTTGGTGGTGAACCAATCATGGGTTTAATAGCTTTCAGGAAAAGCTTTCTTTGATGGTGTTTTCCTTTTCTTTGGTGGTGAACCAATCATGGGTTTTGGATATGCTTTCTTAATATTCACTTTGGTGTTTTCCTTTTCTTTGGTGGTGAACCAATCATGGGTTTTGGATATGCTTTCTTAATATTCACTTTTTAACTCCATAACAAACACAAGTTATGGATTCCTGAATGATCCAAAAAAAATTTAGAAATTGTTATTTGGATTGGACTCCATTTCCATTATTTTATGGAAACGAACCAAACAGCCCCTTACAGGAATCTCCTCCGAGGCACTGTTGAAACTGATCCGCCATCTTCTAAAACCTTTCTAAGGAGAGAGAGCCTAGCTTCTGAGTGATGGTTGAACTTGAGGAACATGGAGGAATGCTGTGAAATTGGACCTAAAGAGAAGAGTTATTACAGGCGTGTTCTTCAACCAGTTTGTTCATTTATCCCCTCAAGGTGAGGATTAGATAATTTCTATAGGACTATGGACCCTTTCTCATGATAGAATTCAGGTCTGATTCCTCCTTAAAATAAGCTAAACCCACATTCGAGAGTGCTTCAGAAATTGTGACTATATCCTCTAGGCCCCAAGCTTCAAGACTATTATTCTTGATGTTGTTGATTTTAAAACTTTTATCAGTGAGAACGGGGAAAAAAGGCCCCTTTTTGGGTCCACTGAGTCTTTGAGATCTTCTTTTGTGATGAGGGTGTTTGCGGTGAAAGTTGA